AAGTACGTGAATGTGTTTTTAAAACTGACGGATCTCACTATTTATCACATAAAATCTTTAATGATAGAGAACGGGGCGTCAATTATGTGAGTTGCTATGGTGGAGGCTCGATCCTATGATTAGAGAACAGGCTCAGCCCCGAGCTGTCAAAACTGTTTGAACTGCACCCAGCTAAGACGGCTGCGCCGAGCTTGGATGCCGGACATTCTTTCACTTTCCTCCATCTGCCACATTAACCAGATTCCGATCAGAATTATCTGAGCTTTCATTTCTGGTTTAATGTGAGCTAATGAAACCAGATATCTATTTAACCCTCCTATCACTCTATTTAGCGATTAACTAGCTAGCTCTTTCCTACGTGACTTCACTATTCCCATGATTTCCATTTCAGAACACCCCGTGGAAGGTACGTTTCACTTTCTCTGGGAAATTCTGTGCATCCTCATAGGATCTTTTTGAATCATGCGAATTTTCGCATAAGTTTGTGACGAAATCAACAAGACCTTGTATAGGAAAATAATTTTTTTGTGTCAATCAATCCCCTGTTTTTGGGATGCGGCGTAGCATTTGAATTCCATTAGAAATCGTGGGTGCGTCCTGATTAATAGCTTATGATGATCAGCAGAAGTCAGTGGTCAGTGTTTTTACCTACCCAGGCTGGTGATGTACTATTCAGTCGACCTCCTGTAATCTGAATTCTTCCATAGATCCAGATTACGCTTCACACCGTAAGAGAGGCGGTGAGATTATTCCGCATAATATCATAATTTCCCAGAATTTCCTTAATTCTAAGCGAATAGAGGTGGATTTTTCACATTCAAGGCAGATTCATGCAAATGGCGCTCAGGTTCTTACAACAATAGTGGGCCTTATGAGAATTCCTAAACTAGTTCCCTTAAAAGTCAAGTTCTAGAAACCTTCTTCTGGTTGGAAAATATTACCCCATTCACATGATTTGTAATTTTTCAGGAACAGTTATCTTTAGTGGCCTTTTTTCCATTAATATAAGTAATCTTCAGAACCAGCCTAAGACAAGGCTGGTTGGGTAGATTACTCGTTTGGGCCAAGATTTAGATGAAACAAAGTAACCTCAATCGTTGTCGCTTAGAAAAAAGGCCTAGAAAGAATGCAAAAGCTTGAAGGCTTGAATCTTTGAAACGTCCACAGAAGTCAAAGACGGCCGCTGGTGGGCGTGTCAAACAGCTCTCTGCAGGCGGTGCAGCGGATGGGCTGTGTTGCAAATGTGAGGACATTTGGCAGCGCCATTGCGGACGACTGTCCTTCATTCAGCAACCCTCAGAAGCTTTTCCCAAATCTTCTTTTCAACTCGTTATTCTCATACTTTGCTGGAATGGGAACGTACTCGAAAGGCTATACTTTACGAACTCTTCGGAAATCCTTAGACTTGTGGGCGATGTTCCCCACTGATCCTCATCAAAGACTTCTTTCCTTACGTTTTTTCTTTTGTACACTATGTAATCATCGCTAGATGGTGTCTAACAGTCGCTAAGTGCCTTTGTTAGATGTTACTTAAATGACAGCACAGAACAATAAACTCCCATTCCGCAGTTTCCCATTTCACTTCTTTTACTCAAGCGGTTTAAGAGCTTACTTATGTGATCTTGCGAGAAGCAAGTTTCTTGAGGACGTTAATGGAGGGTTTTGTGAGCTTTTGGTTGGGAACAGGCTAGTAGTAGGCAAGATAGTGGTAAGATCATGATTGACAAGTTTTTTCGATTGGGAACATGAAACTGCCCGAGAAGTAGATGCAGCTGGGAAGCGATCAACCATGAGGTATACTTGTAAGCAAGATCCTAGTATTTAGAAAGAAGCAACGTTTTGGTTAGAGCCATAGTAAGGTGGGCGTGTTGATGAATATTTGTAAATTAACCGAAATTACAGTATTGTGAGTTATCACTATATTGAAGGATTTCTGAGGAAGTTATTCGGGTTCTCTTGTATGTGCTTGAAAATCGCTACCTTATAGAAGGCTACTCCAAATGACTAAGGACATTCACAGCACATAGGAAGTGGTTTTTCAGGGCAGTATGTATTTTATGTTGTATATATCAAAGCGAATGGCAGTGAGTGCCAAAGTGGCTCTACTCATCTCGGCCTTGGCAGGAACTGTAGCAATAATAAGTGATGTGACGCTGTTCCAAGCTTGATTTACTTGGGCATGGTCATACCCTTCAAGCGGTAGCGGAAACAAAAAACTTCAGCTAAAAAGTATAAAAAATGACAAAAAAAAAGGAAACAAAGGGGTTCCATGACTGGAAACAATGTCCTCCAGTGAAGGTCGGCATTCGAAGGTGTGAAATGCCCAGTTGTTTTCCAGCCTCCTGTTCAACTCAAGGTCGTGGTGGTCGGTGGTCACCGGTAGTAATGGTACTCCATATGGGTTGAAAATGATCCAATAGGAATCCAATCCTCAGACCTTGATTACATTCTCGAATTCCCGTCCATAGACATCTTTCCACAGAAGTAGGCAACCCCTTTCCGTCTTGTACACCTTCTTCTCTTGTCATAAAGTACATTCATTTCTCGTTCAACTCATTCATCTCAACACTTCAACACCACCACGAAATGGCCCATATGTTACTGGTTTTGAAACGTTTTTCTAGTCCTTAAAACATATCCATCAACACTGCGATAATGAGAGGTTATTAAAAACGCTCTAGAAACCTCGCAGTATTAGTGGTTGCGGTGGAAATTCAGTCCAACTAGACAGTCTCAAATAACTCTTTGAACGACCACTTGCGGACAAAAAACACAGAACTGTGTATTTCAACCAGTAACTGACTCGCAAGGTTTTGTACAATGTCGCTGACAAACTGCCATCTTTGTTAGGTGAAAGGATGATGGATAAAGCCTATTGGCGTCGATCATTCTCGCTTTTGGGATGCGCCCCACATTCGACTTCAATTCAGAATCTTGTGTGGAGTATACATTTACTTGTGGTGACTGGTCGACGTACAAGTCAGTGACTTTTATCCTCCCAAACGAGTCTGGCTCCAATTATTCAGTTCCGAAATGGTGGAAGGTTTGGTTAGCCAATGCGGCTGCCTATCCAGGATTTGACCTCAGACCCCAGGTGTGGGTGATAGTGCGCCAGTTGCCTCTACACCACCTCAGCGAACGAAAGTGCTGATATTTCAATATTACGGTAACGATCTGATTTTTCCGATCCAAAAGCTGATTATAAGAAGAATAGAGAGTATAGTTCTGACTTATAGGGTTTGTGACTTCAAAAGGTGATCACCAGGGTTGTCCTCTTCGTTCTAGGCAGTCTTTCCGATTGAATTCTTTTGCTCTTCCTTTCTCTTGCTCCACAACCGTAATCTGCTATCGATTTTTCTGATTCGTAACACCTTATCTTACAGTAGCAATAATTTGAAAGAATTATTTCAGATTATACCACCGCTATCCATTCACATGTCACTTAAATCGGTTTTTCACCGGAAAACATCCAGGTTGGTTCCACTTATGTCTTTTATACAAAAGAGGTAATTTATGTTCTTCCAAAGGAGTAATCGAGAGAAGAGAAATTGTGATAAGTTGGGAAACCCTTTTGGAATGCTATAACCAAATTCAGGCCATTTGAAAGCAACGGGACATGGTACTTCGAAGAAAGTCTCATCGTATATGGGAACATTTAACAACTGATAGAATCTTGATAGCCTCGTTAATTGCAGTTGTTTCGCCTTGTTACGCAGTTCATAAGCCTTCACAAAAATGGCGAAGCGATTTGTAGGCAAAATTCGAGGCACATGGGAGACTTGAGCCCGTACCTGTGCATTCCTAGCATCGTATTTGTGAAGAATAATAATGGTCCTAGTCGAAAAAATGCTTGTAAAAGTGCTTAGCTTTCAGATTCTTAAGTAAGATTTCCAGCTCGTATTACATATGTTTCCCGAATAATTGGAATAGAAATCCGATTCCAGCTTTTTACGACAGAATGGGATCAATCTCTTCTACAAGCTTCCCTAAGAAGGAAGTGTTGGGTAGATGGTTTGATCGCTAAAAAACTCTAGGCTTCAGGAATTTGAAAATAAAAAACCCTTTGGAAAGTAGTTTTTGAACATAGTGATCCTGTAAAGAAAATGTTAATCCAAAAGATGCGGAGCTAAGAAAAGCTAAGTGACAAGGGAAATGAATTCGGATTTGCTTTGTTTCTTCATGTTCCATAACATTAGCTGAAATGGTAATACTAAAAAGCTTTCCATCTTCAAACGAGATCGCGCTATGTTTATGCTTCTCGCTGAAATCACAGAGCACGGGACGCTCGATTGCTCCTGAAGACTCTTTCGGAAGCCTACTACCCAGCTGATCAGACAGTCCGTTTCCATTAAACACAGTCCAGGTTTTCTTCTCCTCTCTCCAACGGTAGTCTTTTCTCCATAGGAATAAGGGGGTTGGAAGTCGTTTCGGAATAGGGTTCACTGTCTTTTCATCCTTTAGACTAATACCAGAGATCTGAACGTTGAATATCACCAAAGAACTACTCTACGAAAATGCTATAATGTCGTACTACTGCTTGCTAAACTGGTTAGCGTAACGGTAATCGACAGATTGCTCAATGGATATAAAGCGAAACGAATGCCTTTTTCTTCCCACACTTCTTCTTCACCCTAGCGTTTATCTTGCGCCGCCGTAGGGTCTGACTGGGAAAAATTCCTGAGATGCTTCTCATAGCTACAATACGAGAAAGCCATCGAGACTTTAACTTCTAGAGTAGTCGTCCTCCCCTACCCAAATCAGCTTCTTTGGGGTCATATAAGAGCAGGGTAGGGACAAGTAGAGGTCATGCGATTTTTTTCTCCCGGGGCAGAAGCTATTACATTTTATAAGGCCATCAAAGATAAATAACTTGATTGACGTGGGTGGAAATCGATTCCATGATTCGACATTATGAGAGCGATCCGTACAGCCAGCTTGTGAGTAAGTGAGCCAAATGACCGGGTAAAGTTAGTTTTTATCCCCACCATCACAGCCGCACTATTAGCGTCAAAGAAATAGGACCGCCCTATAGGAAAATTTTATTTTTTCCTGGCAAATATTGAGAAACACCGCGTGTTCTGAACTTTGGCTTTTATCCAATTTTGGTGTCGTATTATTTGGGGTCAGTTTACTCGACTCTTAAGAGGCTGGAAGGGGGTAAAAACACCCTCAAAGGTACCTCCTTACCTTCGTTTCCCCAGTGTCATACAGCAAACGATTCATCATTATTACTGAAACTGGACCTGTAATGAGGTAAACGAAGTATTTCTAGAAATTACGACTCGGATTCAACCGGTTATGGCTCATCGTCCGACACTTCCAGTCCACTGACCGGATCACAGTTCATTCTCAGACCGGTTACCGTACTGAGTTCATATTCGAATCATTCGGCATGCGAAAAGGTGAGCGGACACTTTGTAGAGAGAAAGTCAAGTGGTTATGAGAAGATTATAGAAGTCATCAGTTTTCTTCACTAGGTGTTTCCTATGCAATAAGTGGGTCCATAGGTCCGTTTTGGAGTAATAAAACTCGCTCTCGCGATAGGAAAACATCACGCTGGCGAATGATAATCACGCGGTATTGAAGGAAGCTGGAGGATAGGTTGGTAAAGTTGCTAAAGGGGTTGACACCGGCACCATTTCCCAGTGTACGCCACATACTCAAATTCCGCCTTAATTGATGGTTTCTGGACACTGACCCTCTCCTCAAACCTAGAGGAATCGATCAATATTCATGGGTTTTATCTCTCAAGCAGTAGTAAGCAACTCAAGAGAAGGAGGAAAGGGTAAAAGGCTTAAAATAGAAAAAGNGGCTTACGAGTCTTTGCGAGGTTGTCAGTTTTCTGAGTTGCTTTATGAACTAAGTTCCCGGGAACGTTGGACTTGGCTAACTGAGCTAGAGCTCATCGTACGGCGGCTCTTCATTGGGGAACCACTAACAAAGGGTACTGATGGAAACGCATCGGATGAGTTTTCAATATCCTGACAATAATAAGGACAATCTTTTTTCATATTCTCATGGATATTCTATTTTCTGCCCATTTGTTTGTCTGTATGTATGTCTCTCCGTCTACTGTCAGACTTCCTGTCTATCAATCTCTTCTGCCCTGACTAACTGCCCTCTTTCTCCTTATATCTCCTTTTCCCTTGTGTTACAGCGATACTCACAATCAATACAAATTCGAAAGTAAATGACTTGTTACAGCTCAACATCGACGACTATGCCGCTTCGAGCTGCGATTCTTCATCATGGTCGTCACGAACTACTTCCGAAAATGTAAGACACACCAACGTAATTCTGTATACTGTAGCTCGAACTTCTCTAAAGATTGTTCAAGTTTTGTCTGAAAATCCACCTTAATCTGCATTTGGGGTAGGTCCAAGCGTTTAGGAGGCAAGTCTGACTGATAGAAGCGCTTGTGGGAAAAGAGAGGGCGATCCTCGCAGAACTTGAGCGGACCCTTTTTTGAAGGATCGATCTATGTCTGCTTTGAAAAGCCCATTCACACTTCTTCTACAATAGCAGTATCCAGCATCCGGTGCTCAGAGAAAAAAACAAAAGTTGCTTCAACTTCTTGTTCCACTTCGCCTGTAAGTGCTCTCGTAAACTGCCCGTCCGGTCATTCAGCAGTCGTTAAATGCAATTTACAAACCCATATAATCACAATGAATAAGCGGCCTCTCTCATAGAGCGAGGCTATCCGATTCCGGATTTTCGGCCAAAAAAGCAGGCTAATTGGCACAGCGCCGTGAAATCTCAATCTTCAAAAGAGACGCTTCTCAAGCCAACGAGCGTATCCTGTCTGGGGGCAACGAGCACCCTTTGTCGACCACTTCAAAACTCCAAAAAGGTGAAAGAACTAGCATGCTGTTACATTGTCTGGTCTCTATCTAGGGCTGTCTATTCTTTTTTGGGTCCTACCCTTGATCATGGGCCCCTAGGCCTTCACAAGGTTTGTCGTTCTCATCAACCATAACTCCTTTTTCCTAGACAGTATAGCTCTTCTTCCCGATCTACTCAGCCTCAATTCCGTGTCATCACGGGATTTATTGGTGTTTGCCTATGAAGGGTATTAAAAGTTGCCATGCTTTCCCAGGTTGCATGGACGGACCGCCTTGAATGGGTTTTACTCATGTCTAGGGAGGGCCCTTTGTATCCAGGAGTTCGAGAAGCCTCTTATCTTTATGTAATAACACTAATGAAAATAGTTGGTACTATTTACAACGAGGTATCACAACCAGTTCAGTGGTGGGGGGACTTAACAGTATCAGGCCTTTGTTCCCTATGCCAGATCCCATTCAACTGGCATGGGATGGAGGCACAGCACGTGGGTATAGGTAGGTAGGTTTGTCCCCACTTAATCCTGGCTTGGCGTTCCTACATGGTGGAGCACTTCGGAGCTTTGAGGGTCTTGAGAAAAGGTAACGATTACGGACGAGGTTTCGACAGGTGGCAATCGTTTGGAATACATTTAAACGCACAGTTCACGACAATTTCGAGGTACTCTTGTTGGGTCGGGAAAAGACCGGTATTGGTTGAGACTAGTGCATCGGCGGCAACGAAAACAGGAAATTTCGCAGGGACAGGGCTTACTGGTAGTCGTGGAAATAGAGGTTGTGCGAGATTCCCATGGCGGAAAAGGCATTGGGTGGTATTCAGACGAGATTCCATAAAAGATGTTGCAATTGCATAAAGAGCTGCGTAATTTAAGCCCAAAGGGTCAAAAACTGCCTTCCACTTTCGCCATAGGTCACGACAAGTTGTTTGAGCTTTCTTTGGGAATGATGCAGTCTCCATAGGACCGTTAAACTTCGGCTTGGCATACAGCCGATACAACCGCGGAGTCCTTATACCGCTTTACCTAGACCACTTTTCCGATCTGACCGCGCCACATTTGGTATACGAGGGGTCCACAGATTCATCTTAGGGGATAAACAGAGAGTGGGAACCCTTTAACGAGTTAGCACGGTCAGCTATCCATTCCTACACGATTGTAACGGAGGAGAGAGTTTCGCTCATAATGTCTGGTGAATCGTATGTCAGGGTACTTGTTCTGATCATCCCATTCCTCCTCCTCCCTCCCTCCCTCTCCACCAGAGCTCATACCTCTTCAGTTGCACTGTGAAACATTTCGAGCTTCTTTTCTTTATTTGTAAACTTTTAATATCGGAATCCTGTTAGGCCATTTCGAAGGAGTGTTTTCGTGATTGAAGAAAACATGTTGGGGTAGAGTGCTACATCCCCGATCATTTTCTGCTTAAAGATTTTGAAGTTGAAGTGTCAAAGAAAAACTCGCGCGGCTTTCCTCATGGTAAACTTCGAAGCGGCGACGTGAGGTGTAAACATGCGATATTCACAGTCCTACTGCCGAAAACAAGATTGAATTCCAGTAGATTTGGCTTTGCAGTGGTATCCTGGGATGTTACCTTAAATGAATTCACATGAGATACATAATTACGGTACTGGGCGGAAGCGGGGAAGTGGTAAGTGGCCTCTGTCACCCATGCACTGTTTAAGGATCTTATAAGGTATAGGTGCTATCACAAACCGCCCAAGTTTTCCATCCCTTAGCTGAAATCGGACTCTCCTGGGAGGTTGAAAGCCTGCAAAAGCCTGACGTCTACATCGAATGTAGAGCGCAATTCGTTGTATTGTTCACATGCGATTTCACAACTACCATTCTGAATGGAAGTCGAGTGTGTGGCGTATTCCGAAAACCGGAAGACTTCATCCTGAGTTCTTTCATTCCTGCTGAACATTTCTGCAACAGAGCCCGCGATAAGTGGGCGTTTCTGGAGAATTTGCACGCAACAGCTGGTTGCCAAATATAAGCTGCTGCCATAAACCAAGACCGTAATCCCCTTCAGGGTGGTTGTAGGCAAGCTGCACCCGACTTGTACTGAAAATGAGAGGGAACCTTCAGAACGACATGTTCAAGCTAAAGGAATCTGAACAAATATAGAAAGAGAAACACGGTGGTCGATCTCATTATTGAATTGTCATAAATTGATCGCCCACTTTGAATCGTTGAGGAAAATCAACGGGCACTCGGATTGCCCAAATAACCCATCTACATATTTGGGATAAAAGCGATTGAAATTCGGATGTGAAAACGATCCCAGGACTCCCAAAAGCGAAACAGAAGGAATCGCCATAACCCACAAACTTGCATCATGATTCATGCTTGCCACTCTTATGATGTCATCGAGCTGGGACCCGATTCGTTGGGAGTGTAAAAAACGCTGAAAAGCACATTGACTGTCCCTGGCTGGCAGCACTGGTTTGAAATATACCCATTCAACTCTCACCACTTCTTTGAATAAAGATAGGATGCATGGCTTTTTTTTCGACAGAACTCCGGCGAGGTGGAAGTCATCGATTGTCATTCGTCACAAAAGGTATAGCTTGTTGAAGGACAGTCATTTCGATAAGTCTCGAGTGGCCCTTCCAGAAGTGAAAGAGAAAAAACATTTTTTATTTCTTTTCATATCCTCTTAGTGCTGTTATCTAAAGAAAATCGTTGAGGACGATGATGACTGCGGTTCAAAAAGGACTCAATCGTTGCTCAATATCAAGTCTTTAAAATGTTCGACAACTTCTAAACTGGCTGCCTGCAAATCGGTAACACTCATTTTCATCCGATTGAGCTGATTTTTTTTATCCCCAACTACTAATATTTAGGTATTCTCGTCGCTCACTATTCGTCCAAAAAAGCCACGTACTCCATTATTTCATACAAATATTGTGGATGAGCTATCTAACACTGAAGATTTCCTTGATTTTAATGAGAGCATATCGTCAAGGGACGAGAACGAAGATGTCAGTATCGACGATCTCTTCAATGCTCTCAAAATGCAGGAAGAATCGTTTCCACCTCCAAACAGGTAGGCAATCTTATGCCCGGAAAACTTTCTTCTGAGGCACTTTTTTTGCCAGATCGAGTCATAAATGACCAAGCCGTTTGGCAATTCATCAGGACTATCACGATAAAAGTGATTTGGGCAGGTTTCGATAGCAATTCTTCGTAGGGCGATTTAATAGAAAATCCCGAGCTAATTCGATACGATCCGCCCACTTTGCAAAAGCCACGCCCATAAATCAATGGTCACAATGGAGGAAAGAAGTTTTGCTCGAATGTGTACGCAGACATGGATATATGAATTGTACCTCTGACCCCAACGTGCCAATACAAACATAATGCTGAAATCGTGAAACAAAAAACGCTTTCACGGCACGACAACTCGTCCAAATAGGCTTTCGCCCCGTTTTCTTGGGTTGTTGACTAATGGGCTTAGATCCATTTGCAACGCTTCCATTCCGTACAAAAGTCAGGATTTTAGGGTTTGTTTCTTTAGGTAGCCTCGAGGGAACATAGGATACCATTATGAGTCTGGTTTACCAACTGCCCATCTCGGGTCAAAAACCCTGTCATCCGCGTCAGACGTACCTAGACAGTCACTCGATCTCATAGCGCAGATTCCGTTCATGCCGGTAAAAAAGGGGTTACCAACTAAGCCATCTCATAATCTGCCTAGCCCTGAACAGGCAATTCCCAATCGTGGGGTCGAATGGGGAGTCTAGGAACAGGATTGGTATCAGTGGATCGGCTAGACTTGACTTCTGTAGTAATTACTTGTGGATGATTTAGCTGATGTAACGGGGCGCCATAATTTCGTGGCCTACTGAATACAGTACCTGCAGTGGAGGATCAGAATTCATCCTTTGTTATTGGTTGTATGAATAAAGGGTGGAGTTCCCACCAAACGTGCCTATTCAGAGAGTGTGCTAAGTCTCGCTTCACTGAACTTGAGCTATTCTTTTTCAAGTAATTCTTCTCTTTCGTCGACGATTCGTCGCAAGCAAATCGTCATCAAAGAGCCGGACGACTCGAGCAAAATCTATTTCGACTACAGGTCGAAAAAACGAAAACCAATGCCGTTCAGAAGCGATACTAATACTCCAAGGTAAATTCTCTTCATATTGTATTCGGCTTTCCTTTTGGAGATCGAGACTAATAAGTTATAATACAAGTTATAGTTATAATACCCCCATCCCCTCTGCCCAATCCACCTCCTCTTCATTTNCTACAGGTCGAAAAAACGAAAACCAATGCCGTTCAGAAGCGATACTAATACTCCAAGGTAAATTCTCTTCATATTGTATTCGGCCTTCCTTTTAGAGATTGGAACTATTATATAATAGTAAGTTGTGATACAAGTTAGAGGTAAAGCGACTTTGTCTAATGTTTCAAGGAAAGAAAAGGGAGACTCTGCTCCGAAAATGAGCTTCAGGAAAAATGCGCTTCCCGCTCGCGTCAACCCTCCCCCCATCCCCTCTGCCCAATCCACCTCCTCTTCATTTGTCAGATGTGATGATTACCCAAAGCGTTGGCAAGTATCGGTCCTTATCACCAGAAGTTAGCGCGGATAATGAGCCCAGGAGTTTTTCATCAAACTTAGAATTCCGTCGGTAATGTTCAAGGGATTCCACAGAGTTCTTTAATATACCGAAACCGATAAAGAGGTAGTAACTGTCTGAATGTTTGTTTTAACGATGTCGTTCGGAGACAATAAAAAATCGATAGGTATGCTTTGAAGAGGTTTTTTGTAAACGATTTTTCGGAGAAGTGATCAGATAAGAGCTGGATATAAATCGAATTCCATTTTAGCACGAAGCTTTTGGCACGAACGGCATTTTCCACTTTCTTTCTATTCTATTTCTATCGATAGGACTTCTTTCCCTTCAGTTCAGTTTACTCTTACAAAAAGCTTTTACAACAAGACGAATTGTTGACGCTGTCTTCGCACTCGGTTCGGATGTTGATTACGTCGGAAATGCGCTAAGAGATCTCTTCGCAATCGACAAACAAGCCGCACCTCGTAGGCCCCGCCCAACTCAAAAACCACACCCAATAGCCTGTTACAGCCGACTAGCCGTGAGAGATTGGCCCTGTTCAAGTACGAATGCTCTTAGGCAGGACATGTTCTTTCCGAAAAAAGTCGAGACATGAGAAAAGATGCCATTGACGTTGGTGGATGAGAAGAATCCCGTTACATTACCAGTAAACTTGATCACGTACGGAATCGCTCCTGTTGCAGCGGGTAAACTCGTCCAACAGCGGTCGTGTGGCGTGTACTTGTACTTTATTCCTTATCTTTTGCAAAAATTCATTGTTCACCAGCCAAATTGACAGTTTGCTTTTAGTATTCTGCATACCTGTATTTTACGGATTTGGCCCGTTGCCATAAGTTCAAAATTATTTCATTTCTGAGCAAAGCGTTTTCTTCCAGATCGGGCTTGAGCATGCCGCTCATTTTAGTTCCTCAGCCTTTGCTGTTACAGCGATTTTTAGACTTCTAAGCTTCTCAGTTGGTGGTGCTTAGCTTTTTGTTCATAAACGATAACGCTTCGCATTTGGTATTGAGAGACCTTGATAAGGTCGCCACTAGCCACCAAGGTCAAGCGACGTGTGTTCTCGAAAAAGTGTCCAATCGCTTCGCTCCATTTGCTTCTCGATATGTTTTTTGGCGATTGTTTCTCCTTCGACCACGAACCCTCTATCTCTTCACTTCTTTGACGGTTTTGTTCGAACGTTTTCTGAACGCTTCGTCAACGTTTCAAGGTCAACAAATGCGTAAGTGGCACGAATGCAAACAATTGTCCTTTCGGACACTGATAAAAACTATTACTTTGAAGAAAACTCTATGTTTGGGGACCGATAATTGGACGCGTGAACTCGAGAAGGGGTTTGTTACGAATTGAGTCGGTACTACATACACAGCCCGGAGAACGAACACAGCATTTACTTCAACCCTTCCCCTCAACTCCTTCAAAGCCTTGTTTGATTATTCTAGTATCTGCTGTGATGACAACGGTCTCGATCTTTGAATCAGCTGGCCTTAGCAAGACATTGTGAAGCTTGGAACAGTTCCAAGTGGTATAGCTAGCTGGCCCCGATTCAAGTGCGTGGCGCATTTCACAAAAAAAAACAAATGATGTGGATTGCTTTGTAGTATAACTACAGCAAAAGCTATGTCGTAGCTTGTTCCTCCAAAGAATTCTGTGCAGTTCAGGCTAGGGGAAGCTATCGACCATTCGCGATTGCAATACAGAAACTTCTATTATGCCTTCCATAGTACGGGTCCATGAAACGTCCCGGGGATATTATATCAACCGGGCGATACCCATTTCCATTTTGTCTTTGTCACAAAATAAAACCGAATGATACTGATTTTTTATTGAAGGTCGATATTGAAGAAAGTGCCCTCTCTCTGTCATACGCATCTTTACGAAGAAGTCGAAGGCGATCATCTCTCACCATTGCCTGACGATGTGCGACCACAGGTATTTTTATGCAATTTTACTGCCCACAACTTATTAGGCCAAGCTACTGTGGCCTGCTATGCAGTCCTTACAGCCACTAAATATGTTGCTAAAATTTCAAATCTCATCTATGACTAATACACATGTCTGACAGTCTACAAATCCCAAATTGAAACCTTATTCTTGAGTTGTTAGGGTAACTGCTCAGCAATCATTTCTCTGTCGAATGGCGGTACCCAAAATGGGAGACTACCAGGTGATGCTGGTACTACTCTTTATTCTATAGGTGTTTCTCGAAGCATCGCACTGGACAAAAATAAACTGCTGCCGGGCTCTGCCATGAAAATGTGTACTACTGTTCTCTATTTGAAGGTATCTTCAGAGAAAATATGACGTTTTTCTTCCCATATGAATGGATTCATGTAGAAGTACGATGCCTTACTCAGGGAACCCCGGAATTCAGCAGAACATGAAACATTGTACTCTTGTAGTAGGTCAAGGAAAGTGGGAGCGGTATGAAATTGCTGCGGCCAGAACGAGAAACAACCGGTAATCAACTTTGCAGCGAAAAAGATGTCGTGCTACCGTTTCCCATGCTTTTTTCTTGCTCGTTTACAGTAGCATGTTTTCTATCGTCGATCTTACTTTTTATTTGTAATTCTCAATCAAAACGGTTACGACAATTTTCTTTGAGATTCTCCTTGAAGTCCGGTCAAGGAGAAGGTCTTTGCCATCCCATCGAACTGTAATTAGGCCAAGGGCATCTACTTTGAATCCCAGCTATTACTATACTGTAATCATTCTACGACCTTTAGTTAGTAGAACATTTTGGGGTAGGGCGGACCTCTCCTTGCATTCACTTGGCTTCTAATATTGACAAAAATGAAATGGCTTCCTATTATGGGTGCAAAATGATGTGGTCAAGTCGATGCTGATGGGAATTGAGGGGCAGAAGAAGTGTGAGGACAGAGTTCTACGTAACGATAACCCAACAGCTCCGGACCACACATGCAGCATCATTTCGATCGCTCAAGTATAGCGTACTCAGTAACAAATCGTATTTCATGCGGGCAGAGAAATCGGTACAACACGGGAAAACTAGATTGTTACCTGCTGTGATCGAAAACTGCGATCGCCTCAGTACTAGTTTCGCTCAAAAAGATTTGCAAGGTAGAAGGCCATAGATCTCGCAGGGTCTTATATCGGGTTTCTAGTCAAGTTAATCGGAGTGTGTAGTAAAGGTGCTGCCAGTGTAATACAAAAGTGATAGGCATTACACTGGTGGAGGTGGTGTAGTGGCAAGTGGCCCACTGTCACACACGCATGTTCACGGGCTCGAATCCCTGATCAACACCCGCGTAGGCCAACTAGGTTTTCCGT